CTTTCACCATAGTCCCTCCTCCTGGCACAACACCACACAACTGGGAGGAAATTCCCAATTCCCAAATTCTCCCTGAGGAGGGAAAGATAAGACTGGACTATATATACATCTAACATTCTGATTGGGTTGGGGGGGGGGAGTGGGCAACAGCTTGGCAATCTCTCCCTCAAGGGAGAAAAAAGAGTGTCCAATAGCCCAGCCTTTGGGGAGGGGGGACTGCCTGAGAGACTGGTTTCTGTCTAGCCTGACTTAGGGCACTGATGGCACCCAGCATACTCTAGCTGCCTGGGAGCCACTAAGAACAAAAAGAGCTGGGTGGTGTGCTGCTGTTTCACAGGACCCATGGTATAAGAGATGGACACCAGAGAATGCAAGAGAGTGCCAGTTTCTGGAAAAAAAGAAACTGGAAAATCCCTCTCATCTGGAATCTACACATGAGTCCAGAGAAGACATATCCAGAGAAAAAATTTGAGAGGCCCCCAGAATCTACAGCCAAGCTGATTGGTAAAGGCCTTTCCCTGTACTAAAGCAGTCCATAAAGACTGGGATAAGAGTGTTTTTTCAAATGCAAGGATACCAACACAAATTACAAAGAACATAAAGAAACAGGTAAAATGGTCCAATACAAGAAACAAAATTAGTCTCCAGAAACTGATCCTAAAGAATTGGAGTCATATGAATTATCTGACAAAGAATTTAAAATAACCATCATAAAAATGCTCAATGAGCTCAGGAAAATGATGCATGAACAAAATGAGAATTTTAACAAAAGGACAGAAAATTTTAAAAGAACCAAACTTTGGAGCTAAAGAATGTAACAACTAAACTGAAAAAGTCACTAGAGAGCATTATGGATAATTCAAGAGCATTATGGATAGTCATATACAAAAGAATGAAATTGGACACTTCTTACATCATACACAAAAATCAACTCAAAATAGATCAAATACATAAAAATAAGACCTGAAACTGTAAAACTCCTAGAAAAAAAAACAGGGGGAAAGCCTCATGACATTGGTCTTGGCAATGATTTCTTGGATATGACACCAAAAGCACAATGAAAGCAAAAACAGACAAGTGGGACATCAAACTAAAACTTGTGTGTGCAGCAAAGAAACAATGAACAGAATGAAAAGGCAGGGGACTACCCTGGTGGGCCAGTGGTTAAGACTCCATGCTTCCACTGCAGGGGGCACGGGTTCCAACCCTGGTCAAGGAACTAGGACCCTGCATGCTGCACGGTGCGGCCAAAAAAAAGAATGAAAAGGCAACCTATGAAATGGAAAAAAAAAATGTTTGCAAACCAGCCATGTATCTGATAAGGCGCTAATATCCAAAATATTTAAGAAACATGTACATCTCAAGAGCAAGAAAAAAAATCTGATTTAAAAATGAGCAAAGAATTTGAATAGACATTTTTCCAAAGAAGACATACCAATGGCCAATAGGTGTATTAAAAGATGCTCAACATCACTTATCATCAGAGAAATGCAAATCAAAACCACAATAAGGCATCACCTCACACTTGTAAGGGTGGTCATTATTAAAAAACCCCAAACAAACAAAAAAAACCAGAAATGACATCTGATAAAGGACTATTATCCAAAATATACGAATAACTCTTAAAACTCAACAATAAGAAAACAAACAACCCAATTTAAAAATGAGCAAAGACCTTAACTGACACCTCATCAAAGAAGATATACAGATGGCAAATAAGCATATGAAAAGATGTTCCACATCATATATCATCAGGGACATGGAAATTTAAACAATGAGATACCACTACACACCCATCAGAATGGCCAAAATCTGGAACACTGCCAACGACAGATGCTGGTGAGGATGTGGTGCAACGTAACTCTCAATCATCACTGGTGGGAATGAAAAATGGTACAGCCACACTGGAACACAGTTTGGTGGTTTCTTACAAAATTAAACATACTCTTACCTCACAATCCAGCAATCCCACTCTCCTTGATATTTACCCAAAGGAGGTGAAAACTTATGTCCACACAAAAACCTGCACATGGATTTAGAGCAGCTTTATTCATGACTGCCAAAACTTGGAAGCAACCAGGATATACTTCAGTAGGTGAATGGATACATAAATTGGTACACTGACCCCATGGAATATTATTCAGCACTAAACAGAAATGAGCTATCAAGACATGAAAAGGCATGGAGAAACCTTAAATGAACACTAATAAGTCAAAGCCGCCAATCTGAAAAAACTACGTAGCATATGTTTCCAACTAAATGTCATTCTGGAAAAGGCAAAACTATGGAGACAGCAAAAAGTTCAATGGTTGCCAGGGGTTAGGAGGAAGGATGAATAGGCAGAGCACAGAGGATTTTTAGGGCAGTGAAAATACTCTGATACTATAATGATGGATACACATCATTATACCTTTGTCCAAACGCATAGAACGTACAACACCAGGAGTGAACACAGAGGTAAACTTTGAATTTGGGGCAATTATGATGTATCAATGTAGGTTCATCAGTTGTAACAAATGTAACACTCTGGTGGGGGATGTTGATAATGGGGAGGCTGTGCATGTGCGGGGGCAGGGGGTAAGGGAAATTTCTATAACTTCCTCTCAATTTTTCTGTGAACATTAAAACACCTGTT